TTGTAATCTTTGTGATAGTTTAAGTTCAATGGTTAAGATCATGAGTCAGTTGAAGCTAGACCACCATGGAAAACCTGGAAGCACTGGATGGCCGTTTTGTCCTATCGTGGGACTCCTCAGCAGTGCGCATCCACGACCTCGCCCCCCTGCGAGATTCGAACTCAGGACATAATGGTTCCGTGCGCGAGCACTTAACTACTAAACCACTGAGCCGGCATCCAACGGTGTTAATGTCTAACTTCAACTAATCCACGATATTGAGCGACACATCCAGCATTGTCATCAGTGAGTTACTATCTCACATGGTGGTCTAGCTTCAACTGGTTCATGATCTTAACCATTGAAACTACTACAATCTCCACAAAAACCCATCTGATAGTTTAAGTATTTATATTTATCTGAACTATATGAAAACTATGACCAATGTTTTGTAAACTCAATAAACTAGATAGTAATAACAAATTTTGATGCATATATATAATACCAGAGTATAGTTCATTTTACAAATATACCAAACGGGTTAACAACTCAGAGTATTAATAATAATAATAATAAATCCATTGAGACTTAGCAACTAGATACACAGGGATGTATAATCGCTAGTGTGTGCTATTCATACTACTTAAATAATTTCAAGTTTAATGTTCTAATCACTAGTTCGGCACGTCTTAGAAATAATTGGAATATCGACTATGAGAAGTTCGTTTATGATATATGATTATACAACATTAGTAAAATTTCTATTTATTAAGTGTACTTGTTTTAAGAAAAAAATGGAATTCATGTAAACGAACATTAGTGGTGTTGGACAAAAAAAAATGTGCATGAAGTATTTCTATACAAATGAAATCCCTTTCAAGTGTCACAGATGAAATAAATTCCCAATAGTAAATGAATAAGACACGAAAACAAAGCTTTTCAATAGTTCCATATTCTGTATGTAAACCGGAAAAATTATCAACAAATGTTTGACAAAACTCGGTTCTCTTTTATTTTAACACTTCTATTATTATTATCGTTATTATCAATTTTAACGAAATATATATTTAAACAAAATAACATATATTTCGATCAGTACGCACTTTATAACTTATGTCAGATGATAGGGAGGAAGCGGGCAAATCAATTTTCGCAACAGACCATAATACGTCATTCGATATAACATTTTTCGATGCATATTTTGATGACCACAGATCAACATTTTCGCATATAACCGATGATTTACCGAATTCTTGAGTACTATGCTTTATACATGATCTTGTAAAGTAAATAAAAATTTATTTTTTTTAAACAAAAAGCCATCAACACTATACATATACTGATTATAAGGCGAAGAAAATTGAGGATAAATTGTTAGGTAATTGATAGAGTAAAATGAAGAAATAATAAGTACAAATACATACATTCAAATGACTTTCACAGACAATATCATTTTATCCATACATCATAATTAAAACTAAACGATAACACAAAGTAGGGGTATATACCTGGTAAAGTAATCTACTCAAATAAGAAATAACTATAGATGACAAAACTTCATGCAAACAATCAGAAATCACACTTGTACGCGTAAAGTATAGAATTTTAAACTTCACATATTGGTGGTTTTATTCTATGGCTTTTAAAAAATCATGTTACCGTAACTTATTTTCCGAGAAAAGCAAAACTAGTAAAATTACACGAAGAGAATATGCTTCATTTAAGAACACTGATTCTAAATAAATGACAGACACTAGACCTTTATCAGTTTATGTATGTGCTTACAAAATATGAATAAATGTTGTAATCAAAAATGTTAACAATAGATTACGTAAGTAATGAGGTAGACAAATTACGACATCACACTTCCTAGAATACTTCTTGTAAGTAAAAAGATAAATTAACGTAAAAAATGGACAGGCGTAAGAGATAATTAAAAATGTTAACCTTTATTTGAATGATATATACTGTGAGGTAATACTGAGGATATTTTATTCCAGGAATTATCAATAAGTGTGCACATAATAGATTTCTGAAGTTAAATGTATGGTAGTTAAGACAAAAAATAAATTTAAATAACGTGAAGCTTAAACGACAGATGGGCCCCATTATTGCGCTAATTATTCCTTCTATAAAAACAGAAAGAACCCATAGAAATGAAACGATCAGTGTGTGCTATAAGATATTATACACACACATACACACCCTCACACCTTATAACTTGAATCTGTTGAAAGGATAGAATCACGTTGTTGATTTTGATGTAAATCAATTTTCGCAACAGACCATACATTTGAAGGATATATACGTGCATTATCATTTTCATTTGATGACCATAAATCATGATTTTTGCATAAAACAGCAGATTCCCCACGTTCATAAGTATTTTGCTTAACACATGAACTTTAGAAAAGAGAAAAATATAAATACAAGTTACTTTTCAACAGATTAATTCAAGAATATACAAGGAAATTCGTAAAACAAAAGAAGTAAAAGCAAGTGAAAAGGGAGAGGAATTCGTGAATAAAGAAACAAGCAAATATAAATCACAAGAAAGATGTCAAACATAACGCAAACAATCACAGCAGTTATTAGGTAATCATTTTCCAGATAGTCTTTAGATTGCTATAATACTTCTCCGCATTAACTAGTGAATTCGGTTGCCTGAAATTAAAATATAACTACTAAACTAGTACTCACCAGTACGGAGTAATTTTCTATTTCAATGAAGATAATGTTAAAAATAAAGACATGGGTTTTACCATTGATCAAAGCTAATTAAAAATGTTCACATACATACACACCTTGTAACTTGAATCAGGCGTAGATGCAAACTCTTGTAAATCAACTCTAGCTGCTGACCACTGTTCGAAAATTTTACTCAAAGATTCTGAAGACCATAATTCTGTATTCTGACATGTTACCGAAGTTTGACGATTTTGTGAAGTACCATGCTTGATGCATGCACTTAAAAAATTAATTCGATAAAATATATATTTATTAATTATATTAACCATAAGGAATAAAATGTAATTAGGTAAGAAGTAGTCATAAATAAAGTTTAGAAAATAAAAGGTTTTAACTCAATCATATACACATACAACCAATCAATAAAGCAATCGCAATATTTACTGAATTGTCAGAAACTCAAGAAAATCCATGAAGCGTACCAAAGTTAATGAAAGGAACTCAGTCAGACTCACAAACAACATATATTCGATTGCTAATTACAAAGTCAGAATGGACTAATTGCCTTTTTTAAAGCTGTAAATCATTCTTCGAATCACTGAGTTTACAAAAGAACACATAAACATAACTAGTCTATCATTCAAAGTTATACAAACTGTTTAAAATACCGGATTCATAATTTGACAAAATATGTTTTAGAATAACTGACAATAACCATTTATGTGCTAAGTTACTGAACAATTCGCGAACACACACACCTTGTAACTTGAATCAGAAGATATTGTAGGCTCTTGTATTTCAATCCGAGTTGTAGACCATTCACTAGTTAAATTATTGAGAGAACTTGACGACCATAACTCCGTATTCTGACAGATAACCGAAGTTTGGCGATTTTGTGAAGTACTATGCTTTGTACAAGCACTTAAATTAAAAAATATAATTAAGAAAATGACATACTAGAAAAATGAGCATACACCTAAAAAGAAATGGATTTTTGAAGATGGAAAAAATTAAAGAAAATTAACAAAATAGTAGTAGTATTCATAGTCACGCAAACTTGACTCAGTTCAATCACAATACATTGAAGTATAACCTCAACATTCTCGGGAGATAAACTAAACCAGAATAATAGTTAAACAACTGTAAATATGCTCTAGAAAAAATCAAGGTTCAATGTATTTTAAATTGAACTTATCATAATATTAGTTTATGATCACTAACATTTTGGTAGAAATATTGAAATTAGCCTCCTACCACACACAAAAGTTATGTGAAAGGTTGTCTCAGTAAGTCTTTGTATTTGTAATGAAATTCATTCGGTTCGCCATTATTATTACGATCATTATTACCAATAAAACGATTATTATTACCATGAATAGTAATAATATTGTCCGACTATTGTAACCATATAAAAAATTCTAATAAAACTTTACATTTCAAATGAGTACTTAACATAAATATTATGAGATTTGCGATAAAGCAGAATTAGTCAATTGTGAAAGCTTATACAGAACAATCAGTCAAAGAGAAGAAAGAACTCAACTGGGATCCACTTCAACACAGAAATTTAACATTCATCCAATACCAAGGTTAATTATACGAACTCAGTATGAGAAGTGTAAAGTGAGAATAAACTTCTTAAATAATTAATCTCTAAGAACGATATCTAAACAACAACAACAACAAAAAACTTAAACCACATAAACCAGAAGTATATAATACAAAATATTTTCGAACTAAAATACTATTTGAAGGAAATATCGCTAGTTTTGTTAGTACAGTACAAAGAGTAAAACAAATCGCGATATAGTATAAAACACTAGCAAATTATAATCAGAAATACAAAGATCATTTACTATAATGAGAACGTAAAAAACGATGAAATTACTATCCAAGTATTTAGAATTTCAAAGAGTTGTAAAGAGTCCATTCAAAAAGAAACTATCCCATAACAATAAGATTATATAATTCATTCAAATTAACAGCTTAAGAAAAAAAAAGAAATACATCAATGCAAGTATACTTATTCACATGATAGTTCATTTCACAAAGTTAATTGAAATGGAAATAAATAAAATTTTGACCTGAAAAAACAATGAAAACATCTATGTACTAGGTGGAGATTAAACATGTAAATACTACCCTTAAACTTAGTCATGTTTACACTACCTTTATACAATAAATAAATAAAAAACAAAAAGAAAGTCATAATCATATAAAACTAGACCTTAATTTCATATACAAGAAGAAAAAAACAGGGGGAATAATTAACCAATCAAAAAATAATTATATAATATATACATATATATATATTAAATAAATTAAACATTGACCTTATAATCAGTTATAATTTGTTCATTTGAATCAATCAATGATAGAGTAATTGTTTTCCATAAAGATGTTGAGGATAACAATTCACTTTCAGTATGAAATGAATAATCTGACGTCCATAATTTTTCATTTTCACTAGAAAAATCAGTATAAATATTAATGATTTAAATAATTATAATTATGGAAATTATAATGAAAGAGTTAGCTATAAACGAATTATTATTTTATTAAGCAGACAAATATTATTTGTAAATGAATTAATGTATTTCTTTACATTTAATAAGAAGTAAAGATGTTCATTTTTGACTGGATGAAATATGAATCTTTTAATGGTAAATATCAAATGAAGACGATTATGAATATTTTAAAGACAGATAATTGAATAACTTAATAAATAGGAGCTTTATTATATATTCTGCTTGATGTCTTATTGATTCAATCAAACTTCAAGAAAGATAACACTTAATCCCGATTTACTTTCACTCTAATCTACAAACATGTATTTTCCAATTATTTGTAGTGCTTGATTGAATGAACAAAATTCGTGAAACTAAGAGATGAATTCATTTGTTTAAATAGTAATGATCGCTCGAAGGTATGCGGAAAGATCATCCACAATAAACAGTTGGCAGAACACGTTGGTTTTAGCAATTCACATTTGAAGATGATTCAAATGTTATCAGTGTAAAAAAAAAAAGCGAGATCAGGTTTTAAAAGTAAACAAAACAAAATTAAAAATAATAGGCAATAACACTTGGCGAACACAGTGAACATTTCAAATAATGAAGCTTTATCTCAATTTTTGACGTAGAACCTAAACGTTCTTTTGAGATATTCACTGCAATTTAACTTTTCGGATGTACAACAAAACAACCGATGAATTTTCTTGCAAGATACGTTTAACAGCTATGAACACTACTAAATACGTGATTAAGTGAAATGGCAGCTCATTTATACAAACACAATAACAGAAAACATCTGAGCGAAAAATAAGTGTATAGCATACAATGAAATATTCTGTATTTGGAAGAAAGTAAATCCACTACACAGCAACCAAAGAGGAAATACAATCATTAGCAGTCTACTGTGCATCGAAACCAAAAATAGTATCTAACTAGAGGAAAAGCCAAATTCTAAGCGGAAATATTTAAAAACACACACATCTCATTTGCATAAATGATTAAATATATGGGTAAGTATGTATTTGTTTAAGACCTAAACATCCATAGTGAGTTAATAGTGTAGTGATGATGCATGTATAAAAAGTATTAGTCACACATGAATATTTCAACAAAGGTTGGAGTAAAAAACGCGATATAACGGTAAAATTATCTTTCAGTAAAGTAATGCATTATTGTTGTTGATCTACGAATGTGGATATAAATGGATACCTAAAACAAGAATCTTAGTGGGCTGACAAAACATAATTAACAACAATGTTGTGGCGAATTTCAATCATTTACTTTCCATTGAAACCTAACTATTAACATACAGAATTGGTATGACAATGTGAAAGCAGTTGATTAATCAGTAGAGATCCGAACAACTGTTACATTATTATCCGTTATTTATTATTATCGGTAGTATGCTAATCTAAAACTATTGCAAAATCCAATCCAGAACACCAAGATCACACAAATAATACGTTGTTTGTCAGATGAGTATTTAATTTTAGCCCTAATGAACAGATAATGTCAACTATTCACCTACTTCAATCGGAAGGTTCGTTCCTATTATCAACACACTTAAAAATGTAATCCATAAATCTCAGAGAAGAGATAATAATAATCCACCTCCTAAAGAATTTTTAAATCCATCAATTAGAACAATGAAATACTATGCAACTAAGCACTGAGAATAAAGTAAAAACGAAATCAAACTAACTACTGAGCTTATTCACTTTTTTCAAATATTACTTAGTTACTAGTATTCCAATCAAGAAAACTCCTTGACTTGAATGTATGAACAATGTTGAAAATTCCTTTGGTTTATAATAAATAATCTAGAACCTATGCAATTGTCGAGTTCAAATCTGAAGAAAAACGAAAATTTAAATGGAAACCAAGCTTTAAAGTAACTGTATAGCACATTAAGCTGTGAGAATAAAAGAAAATACCTCTCATATGTATTATTAAACAAATCCAAAGCAAACGATTTCAATGGACTCATAAAATGAAGTTATCTACGCATGAAACAAAAAACTGTTACTGGCAAAGCTTAACTAAATAGCGGAACAAACTTGAGATCTTAACCGATTTAAGCAAACAGGAGGCAGAAAAATAAATGAGTAACTTATGATGTTAGATATTAGGGACACGATACAGGTTTAGTGATGAAAACACTAAACTTAATACAGAATCTTGATTAGAATACTAATTTCTGATCATATACTGATAAATGCGTTATGATTTTGAGGTGATTCGCAGATTAGCCATTTGACTCGGCGGTATAATTCACCATTTACAGTGATTTAAATAATTTCTACTTTTCAAAAGCAAAACAAACACAGAGCACTCTAGCTAATACACCTTAATACAATGTAAACAAAATGCAGATAAATGAAAAAGAAATAAAAAGTAACACGATGATATTGGCTAAATAATTTTAGTTAATAAACAAAACAAATGGTAACTGGTTTCAGTTAGGTTATGATGTATTTTTTTAAGAAAAAACAAATGAGGGAAAACTAAATGATAAGCAGAAAATCTAGTTACAAATAAATGAATATTTCAAACAACTTTATAATATGATAGTGGATTATTCATTCATGTGATAGACATTTTTATTTATTTATCTGTTTATAGGAAGCAGTTTAAGCTTACCACAATAATGATTCTTTTCTTCCATCTACAGTCTTTTTAGTGCATGATCTAAAATATGAAGTGGTGAAATTGGAATGAGTCAAGCATAAAACTAACTATACGAATGACGACTTTTTTAGAAAATGAAAATATATTGGAACGAACAGTAATTAATCAAAGAAATAAAACTAATTGGAAGATAACAATAAACATAGTTTAGTTAGAAATAAGTAAAAGGAGTGGATATAGATGGGTGTAATTATTTCTATTCTATTTACAGAGATTATATATATAAAACATTATGAGACAAAATTTTAGCACACACATTAAGTCACAAAACAAACATTCAATAAGCAAAGGGGCAAGTGTACGTCCACACGCAGACAATAAAAGACAAACTTTATGTACTAGAAAAAATGACAGTTCTTAACCACATAGTTTGAAATAAGTAAATTATAGAAATAGTTTAGAATTTTTAGACGGATAATGACGATTCTATGAGTAACAAACTTGTTATTATAATATAAAATGAAGATTTGTGTCAGGTTCTAGATTGCTTATGGCTGACCGATTGCATGATCTTATAACATACATAGAAACACTACGATTAAATGAATTCTTTACGATCATGAACAATAATAAAATATTTATCGTTCAAAGAAAACTGCACACCTTGTAATCTTTTGAAGGGAAACCCAATGATGACTTAAATGGAATATCCACATATATCATTTTCCATAACGCTGGATTATTCTTGTCAGTAATAGTTTGCCATAACAACTCACTTTTACTAAATCACAATATATAATTATGTATAATATCCTGCTTACCAATTTTGTGATTGCATAACAAGAGTTCCATCAACTTGCTCAGCTTGTTGAGAGCAAGCACTATATATAGAAAAAAGGGATATTTACAGAATAGGTTTTATAAAAACAAAGAAAACCGTATCATGAAATATGATACATACTGTTAATAGTGACAATAAGTGATGATCAAAGATAAGTGAAACATGGACATTATGTTTCGTCATGCACACACACATACAAACACAAATGTGCATTCATCCATCAAATGAGTACTATATTCCAACAAAACAACAAAATAAGAATGATGAAGAGGATTCACAATGTTACAGAGAGAATCATGTAAAGAATTGAAATCAAAAATATTGATACACACTCTGTCAGTACCAAAAAACAGAATAGTGAACTAAAGTAAAAAAACAGTAAACACAACTATTACGCATATTAGAATGCTATATTTACATGAAAACTTAACTTCCGAAGATTTCTACAGGTAACTGCAAATAGTCTATTTAAATAAATTACGTTTTTGTTGAAATTCTATGTTTATAATAACAACACAGAAATGTACTGCCTTAGGATATCATAGCTTATCAACTTCGTTAATTATGAAGTTTATTATAAACTGTAGTGGGGGTAATCGAATATTAAAATGTAGGTTCTTCACAAATTGCATTGCTTTAAAGTAAAAACAAGTATTCAAATATTTGGTTAGTGAAACGAAGACAATCAGAAGGTAACTGACCATCGTCATAGTCATCATGACAGATCAATAAGTAGAGATCAATCTAGAAGACTTATGATATTCACACTTATAAGTTCTACACTTTGTTATTAGAGATTTACAAATACTACCTACATAAATATAAAAAAAGTACCAGACCATTATATTTAGTTATGCAACGTTGGTTTTAACGAATTCGTAATGAAAAACTAGTCAGTCTACTACATATGAAATAAACAAAAGGTCACAACAACAACAGCAACGACAAAACATTCAATCATTAGAAAAATTCATTAGCAGGTTATATTTATGTAGGGATTTTGAGGGAAAAGCTTTGACACAAAAACAGAATAGAATAAATTTAGTTAAACAACTAATAAAATTTAGGATAAGAATTACGTGGTGAAAATATACAAACGGATCTGTTTAGTAATAAACAGTTAGGCATGTAAATAGCCCATCATTCGTCTAACCGATTCCATAAACAAACACTTTAAATATTAAATAATAATGAAAAAAATGAATGTATACATTACATGTAAAAAAAAGTTGATTAGAAAGGTCGCTAACTTCAGGCATTATAATGAATCAAAAGGGATTATGAAGTGGGTTTTTTTTTGTTGAAAACATGTACTGAATTCGCAGGCTTATTTTATTGATTTATCTGACCTCATACAACAATAAAGTGGGTTAAGAAATATGGATGCCTAAACAAACAGAAAAATTTAAAATTGTAATATTCCCATATTGTAAATTTAAATCAAGCAATGAATCGATCGTCACAAGTTGAACTTAAGTGATTGGTTGCTATTTGCGAATTTGTGATTTGTAATAAAGTTTAGCCATTTAATATAAGTTGGATAATTTGAATGTAATCGATCAACGCTCCGCTAGTGAGAGCCGACTATTTGGTTTGCTTTTCGTTAATATTCACCGATCATAAATCACTATTGTATTATGTGAATCAGTAACGTCAATGCGACTCAGGATAAAACTAAATAATAAGTTAAAATACAATTCCAACAGACTGGATAAAGTAACACGATTATTTTGGCAACAGATGGAACTAAATTATGACTGCTTGACTACTGAGTAGTGACCAATGTCATGTACGTCAAGTGCTTCTTAGTATTGGTCTAATTCTATAGATGGAATTAGTGTGGTGTGTGCGACTTATATTGACATAAGTAGTAGATGATGTTAGTCGTGAACAGAATTTCTGGCAGCAGAGAGACAAGAGGATCGAACAGTAAAGAATGGAAACAGAATGCAATTTGTATGGAAATGCAAGAACAATGAAGTCTGAGTCATTATGATACAATTGATGGACATTTTGCAAATTAAGTATTTACTATTTGATTGTTAGATTTTATTAACAAGTCCTATAATTTTGTGTCAAATACATTAGATTATCCCCACCCGTGTTCGGTTCACTACACTAGTACTAATGAATGAAATGAATCTATGCAACCGAATAACTGGTTATAGGTCCTTGTAGTAAGATACGGGAGCTACATAACGATGCTAAGCAATAATTTAAGTACATGATGGTCTACAACCTAACGTTAAACAAACACACAACAAGATGTAATTTGCAACAAGCAGTTTATATCAGACACTAGTACACATACACACATATTTATACGCAAACATACATACAAAACTCCACAATATCAAACTAGCAACGTATAGAACTGCCTGAAACCACACCAAACTTCAACATAATTCCCATCGCACAAAACATGACGAACGACACTGCTTATTGATGTTAATCAACAAACTAATTGGGCTTCATTTAATTCAACACCTATACGAACATAAACAAACACATCCTTATATACACATGCACGTACATACAGCAAACATTTACAAACACATACAGTGAATATGAAGAGAACATCATAAAGCGACATACATAGTAACAAAAAATTATATAACAATCTAAAGATTAAAGAATAAGCCTAATTAACGTGAAAGAAAGATGATGAAATACGGTATAAATCCCTATGCCTTAGATAACCTGAAAAAGATATTGAATTACACTTAACTACAACTAATAAATAAGTTGGAAACACAACAAAACAACGACAGTCATCCAACAAAGATGAAGAGTAAAAAGATTGAATATTAGAATATTGAAAATGGAAGTAAAACATGAAAGAAAAGAGGATAAGAATGAATAATATCAATTAATATATATATATATATATATATATATATATATATATATATATATATATATATATATATATATATATATATATATATAATTCGATCCCAATTTTTGATACAGCTCACCTTCTGTATCGAAACTTATTAATTATCAATATACTCAAATGCATTGATAGTAATATGAAATAACAAAAAGTTATTAACTGAAAAAAACCACGCATATCCAGAGATGATCACTGATTGAATTACTAAAAAAACTATAAGTACAAATTCAAGAAGTTACAGTGAAGAGTGGCATTGATTTTTTTCCTGCAGGATGTTCTTTTATTACATATTACTCGGATGAAGACTATGAAGTAAATTAATCTTATTAGGATGGCAGAATAACAAGTTGCGATCCCGTCACAAGGTTGATGAATTTCGGATCCCGTCAATAAATATGATGAATGGTTATACTTCAAGACGTTTTCCTTGGATCCAACCATCAGTTGACCTGGGTCGTTGCACATAGATGACAAGAGTGGGAACATATGTACTAATAACCAGTACACAGATTGATGGACAAGAATTCTGATTTAACGCAACAAAAGAACCCTTCATTAATGATGAAATTCAGAGACTGATACTCATAATAATTCGTAGAACACACGAAAACACTTCGAACAAACCAAAAATGAAACTGCCGAATGATAAGCATCTCCTCCAATCTTACCCTGAAGAATGTCGAAGGAGAGTGAGCTGAGGGATATATCGACTGTAATTTACTGTGGGTGGCTGTATTGTTTGTTTGTTTTTACTCTCAATCATGTAAGACAACTCTAAGCATTGATAATCGATATGCGATTTCAGACGATGAAACTTATCACTCCAAAGTCGTCCAGAATAAACATCTGCAGAACTAGTATCGATTCCAAATGGAATCAATCTCTCTGTTTTTTCAGGATCCCCTTGAAATGCAGATAAAGACATACAAAGAATCCCATTCACTAAACCATGCTTAGTTTTTGAATGTTCAATTCGCCAATGAGCTTCACTATTTCGTGGGTCGGGCATCCAACGGCACATTCCAAATTTTTCAAAATCACAATTTGCAGGCGAAATGGGAGATGAATGTCCATTGAAACGCTTTTCATAGCCTTTAATCAATTAAGCAAGATACAAAGGTAATAAAGTTTAAGGAAAACTTTCAGATCACATAAATTCAAGCCGCCCAAAGGAAATAAAAGTGAATTTGAATAAGAGATAAGAGGAAGATAAACTGTACAATTATAAGTTTAAGAATTACTTAATTAGTTTACTGCTTTGAATTGAGCTGTTGCACGTTAACGAGGAAGAAACTTGGATAAAATTACATAACAGTACAAATATCTTAAATGCCCCTAAATATATCCAGTCAGATAATCCGACCTGAGAAAACATGAGGTATTTTGGTGGAGAGGTAACTATCAAGATGAAATAAAGTTATCAAAGTCGAGAAAAAACGGTTAGCCAACAACTCCTAGTCATTTGGTCGGACAAAAACTAATCCGATGAACTTCAGTGCTGCTTTTTATATTTATCATAACGATCAACTGAAGATAACACTATAAACCGATATTGAGTAATCATACTAAAAATTGTTCAAATCTCAAGAATAATAACATTTATCACCACTATCAACATGAATGAATTACATCAATGTGTGATAAAACTAAGGTTTATTTAATTGGCTAATGATATGCATTTTATGAGAACGACAGAATGTAGGTATTGACTAAACACACTAATTTGATGTTGGCACATTTTCATGTGAAACACTTTAGAATTATAAAAGTTGGAATTTTTCGTCTAACTATATAGTAAGTACCATTAATTTAACCGAACACTGGTTCATTTTAAGGAATAGAAATGAAAAGGTAATAAAAAGAATAAATATAGACGACGGCTATTCCAACTATCCAATTGTTAGCCATATTATATCTCCATGAGAAAGAAAATCAAGCTTTGCTTTGTATACCGATCGATTTAAGATGAGTTTCCATTAAATGCAACTCATTTTCGACAGTTTTATTCAATAACTTTCAGTGCATGTTAGTTAATTGATTTTCACTATGATTACATATTTTATGACAATCAATCATTTAATATAATTCCGTAATTTATAGTCACTGAATCAATATGTAAATGAATTAGCTTTGATGCAAATCCAGTCCTTTTGGTCTCATACAATAAGATTAGTCTTTTGGAGTAGCTGGGATGAAGGGTTAGGAACAGACAAAGCTGTTGTATCGTAGAGTTGTTAGTCATCACCACATATTCTACATTTGAAACACGCCTGGAACAAAACTGAAGATAATCATCCAATTTTCCAGTAGAAAGAATCCAATAATTAGTTGAATTGAGAATTTCTTCAAGCACAATACAATAATAAGTATCTGCAAAATGATTAAAGATGACTCCGTTCATCATTTGCTTTTTTTTACTCACTTTTTACAATGTCTACATACTTTCTTCATATAACATCTAATTCTCTCGTGACTCAAATACAATTCCATGTGAACATTAGTTGTTGCGTCTGTTTTGAATCAAAATGAAGATAACAACAAGTTTTCTTAACCACAAAACCATTGCAGTGAAATCTCTAGAGATTATTGAAACGTTGTTTCGTTTGCATAGTAAAGACGATATTGTTAACCGAAAACCATGATAAATTTTTATGACTAATAAAGTATTTTCTTGCTGATTCATATAAATTTTACTGAGCAGATAATTACCGAACTGCAGTATGAGTATAGAGTAGCACTTGATAAGGATAACAGATCTTACCCATCTGAATGTCTCATAATTGTTAGCCGACCTTTAGGCGTTATTTTTGGTGGTATGAAATAAGTGAACTGCAGGCATTGTATCTCATGATCTTTTAGTTGCTTGCTAACACGAACATGACCACTCCATAAGCGAGCTGAAATATCTGTCTTAAATTTCAAATCAGAAACATCTTGATAAATTGATAAATCTGGATTCGGTGAAAGACACATGGCTTTTGTCTTGTAATCAAGTATATCCACCACTTGCCACAAAGCCAACACATCTCTTGGATCCATATTCCATCCACATAATGTTCCGTCTTCATAAGTACAATTTAAAGGATTACGTATAAGTTTGGACTTTGGTCGAATTAATAATGCAACTGAAAATAAAGTTGATTCAAGTCAATCTCTTTATTTTGATAGAATAGATAAGAATATTTCATTGACAAATCATCAAAATCAACAATCGCGCACAACATTGAAGCCAAGCCGAATTTCAAAAGGTAAGTTAAAAATGAAGGTATAATAAATGGAAATAGAAAATGAATTTAGAAAGGATGTAGGCGGATTTCATAATTCACTTTGATTGGTAACTTTATTATTTTAAAATTCACCAATCGAAATCGGCATGATTGTCCAATTATAAGTCAAGGATCTAAAGTAGATAAAGAACCAATAAACTTGGAAATCAGGTGAGTTTTTAGTTTTACGTTATATTTTGAAGGTATTCAGTTTATCAAAAAAACTAATCCAGTTTTTTGGAAAAGAGAGATAATTCTTTGATTTATTTGTAATAACTGACGTGAATAATCCAGTTACAAGTATGATTAACTACAGACAAATTAATAATTTATCTAAAACCGCTACACCCACAAATAGACGTTATTAAGTAACAAAAAGCAGCTTACCCTGTAGAATGTTTCATAAGAGTCAAACGTACGTGAGGAAGATGCTTATTAAATAAGACGATATATTTAAAACCAAGACACTGTATCCTATTTGTTGGGTGCGAACGCACTTGGCCACTCCATAAACGAGCTGAACCTTCTACAATCAACTTATCTCCAGACTCCACAAAAAATGGACTAGTACTCAAATGTAGGCAAGCAGCATGTGTATGAAATTTAGAAAGGTGTATCACCTGCCACCAGGCTAAAACATCTCTAGGATCATCATTCCAACCACAGAAATTGCCTTCTTCAAAACTACAGTTGACAGGGTCATTTAAATACCGAATATCCGGGCGGCGAGATACTACACCTATAAAATTCAACAGATGATGAAACCTTAGTGAACATTATTGAGATTAGCCGTAACTAATAGATACATAGTCAAAACCAAGCCGTCTCTAATGGAAGGAAAATAAGCAAAAGAGATGAGAAAAAGGAAGGCTTGAATAATAAAATAAATTATGAATCATTGAAACAGATAGCAGCTGATAATTCCTCAAGAGACTTTGTACAATGAAAATAGGATGGCAGTAAAAAATGTAATTTTCAAGCTGAACTGAAGCACCAGATTGCTGCATCACTAGTATATCACCAACTTGAGGAACTGAATGACTTTGAAGCAGTTGCTATTATATTTGGGAACCTAGAATTAGTCCGTTTGAATCCACATTTAGAATGAAAGTGTGAGCGACCCGAAAGAAACATAGAAGGGAAAATATGACGTATTTTTCGTGTATTATGAAAATTAGAAATAAAGTGAGTTGAAAGATGAAGAACTGATTTTCCTTCTATTCAGGTGAATATTTCTTACCCAGAAGAATGCTTCATTAAAGTGAGCCTTGTTTTGGCAATGTGTTTAGTGGTGATCATAAACTGAAAACTTAAGCACTTTATTGAATTGTCAGGATCATGAAACACATGACCACTCCACAAACGGGCTGAAAATTCATGAAGTGATTGGACGGCCACAGTTGGTAAGATTGATCGACTAGGTGCCTTGGATGGAAAAAATATCTTGTTCCACTGCATACACATAACATGTGTATGGTAGTCAGAGAAGTAGTAGACTTTCCATGACGCCATTTCATCACGTGGATCATCTTTCCATTTACACAGGTTTTTTTGTTCATAAGTGCAATTCACTGGATCTAGGCCAGGAATCAAGTTACACAAACCAACTTGAATATCTGAGAAGAAAAATATGAAATGTATGATGCAGGCAAGAGGCAAAAATAATGTAACCTTCAAAAATACACATGTAATGTAATTAGTAATCGACTCTTCAATGCATTTTAATTTTGGTAACCGAATCACAATCAGTCATATGATCTAATATCACTAAATTAATATATCACCAGTTGAGAATTCCTTAAGCTGGGAAGCCTTATGAGTTATTTTCTAAAACATTCATACTAAAGCACAGCAGTTTTGTGGACTTCCTAAACAGGAACGAAAATACGAACTGAAAATAAAGAAGACAATTAGGTATATGTTTGAGTCGTTATGAGTAGTCTTGAAATTCCTCACCCAGTAGAATGCTTTAGAAGGCTAAGATTTATAAGCGAATCATCAACTGAGTTACTAGTAGACGGGTCGAGATTAGAATCGTGTAACTGGATTTTATACTGAAACTGAATACAACGTAAATCATTTTGAGGATTGTTCAATGAATATTCCATGTAATCATTGTTTTCATTAGAAGTACTAACAGGTTCGACTGTTTCACTCCACAAACGTGCTGTTAGAGAATTCTGTTGAACACCATATATTTTTCGAAGACGATAAGTGTGTATATTTCTTGGTTGCAGACATATTATTCCATTATTTAAATCCGTAGTCATATGTTCATGCTTCCAGTGAGCTTTGTCATTTCTTGGATCACCTTGCCAGTGACAAAATTCCATTTTAGCATCATCAAAATCACAATATAACAGATTATTCCAATTAGGTTGAGGCACATTTTCATACTCTTGACTTTTTAATTTAGGGAAATTTATTCCTATAACAAAGATGTACAGAGAAGAACATTGAGATCGAGTTAGAAGCCAAATACAGAAAAAAATGACCAAGCCGCTTATCTTTAGCAAGAAAACAACAAAATTGAATAGAGCAAGATTTGTCAGTAAAGCATCAATGAAGTTGCAGAATGAACTCAATAAAACATAGTAAGTGGGAAGAAAGTGAACTGCACAAAAATAAATGTAAACTGTCAGCCATTGGTTAGCCAAATTCACAAATAAATAAGTTCAAATCCATAGGTCAAAACACAGGATGTTATACAATTCAAAAACAACAACAAATAAAATAATACAGCATTCTTCTAACGGTGATTGAATCGAGACTTGGTAAAACCCATTATTGTTAGAAAAAGGTTAGCGTGAAACCGATTCGTAAACAACTTCATTTTATTTCCTCACCCCATTTGACGACGTAATAACGATAGTTTCGGTAGTCTATCATCCACACCGTACATATTCAATTCTCTTCCACTCAAACTAATATGATCTCTCAATGAACCAGAAACATATTGTATGTTATATATCAACTGTATACAACTTGGTTGCTTCATAATTGATATGATTGGACTGAATAAACGAGCTGTTATATCGTAATCAGACTGATGGTTATTTGATTTTCCATGTAAGGATAAACAAACAGAATTTCTTTCTACAGTTGATATTTCACTATTTTTTGAAAAGTCTTCAGACTCAATCATCACCAGTTTCCAATTTACTGGCCAATTATTTTGATCATTACCCCAATTACAAGTGGATTTCTTGAATTCACAATCCAAATTCATATTCGTTTCTGATGAATAATCCAATGATTCAATTAGTTGAATAGCTGAAAACGTTATGAAGTAAATATGTTTATTAGTTTATTAAATGTTTGATGAGAAGTTTTGTGAAATGAAGTTGGTAGCTAGTGATAGTTGAGTTGTATTAAAAATGAATACTAAAGAAAAGTAGAATAAATTAAAAGATCGACAAGATCATTCATTGTTGCAACTCTTCTCTTGAATAATTTAAAAGTAATAGTGGTATTAGTAGCATAGTCATCCAATAAAGAGTACGTCTTACCCCATTTGACGACGTAATAATGACAATTTAGGCATAGTGGAAATTCCATCTGTTAAAATTTCTGATGAATCCATACTAGATGTACGGCTGGAAATGACGATGGTATAAACTAATTTTAAACAAAGGTTATTGAAAGTAGAGCTCATTAGTGAACTAAAAAGTCTTGCACTTAAGTCCATCGGTTGAATTGATTTAGTTGCATCTAAACAAATAAGTCCAGAACTTTCCTGATTAAAACTTGTACTGAATCTATCAGTTAATTCAAGCTCCCAGTTAACAGGCCAATTATTCTGGTCATTAGACCATTTACACATGGATGAATCAGTAAAATTGCAATCCAATAGTGACTTGTAAGACTGATAATTACTGAACACTTTTGATTGATCTGAGAGCACCAAATACGTAGATGATGAATCAACAATAGCTGTGGAAAGATTGATAATCAAGAACTTTTTGACTATAACATTCGATGGGTATTATAAGAGAAAGCGCAGAAATAAGGAATGATTTAAGCCGTAGAATTCAACAACTGATATAGGGCAAATAAATTTTAATGCAAAAAGAACACTAAAGAAATTCCTTTTGGTGTAATATCACCAGTTGAGACAAAATAGAATAGTTATTTAAGAAAAGCAGTTTTATTTACTATGAGGTTAGGGTATACAATTTGATGAATAGGAATAAAAAATCTAAATAAAAAGTATAGATTTAGATAAATTGATAGAGAATAGCTAAATAATTTAGATGGATAGATTATACAGAGGTACATGTGGGTATATATATATGATCTCACCCTTCTCGACGCATTAGTACAGACAATTTAGGCTGTGACTGATTATCAGTCGGGTTTTGCAGTAAACCATTGTCTAAATGATAAGATAAACTTAAACACTTCGGTTTTTGTTGCTCAGATAATTTTCTCATTCGTATTAACTGACTCCATAGGCGAACCGTTAAATCAATCGCCTCCGTAGAATCATCATTAGAATCTTCTTTATTCAACTCCAGACATAAATGTTTATCTCCTAACTGATTATGATTATCAGTAGGTGATATCCAATGTTTCCATCGTCCACGCCAATCGTTTAAATCATGTTGCCAATTGCATAAAGGTATTAAAATATTGTCGAAATCACAAGATAATGACTGGTCCATTAGTAAATAACCTTAATAAATAAGAAGATAGAAGCTGTGAATGATAGTTTTTTTAGATAAGTTTGTAAAAAAGAAAGAAATGACAGTTCTTCAGTGGGAAAGGGTTGAGATTATTTCTTGATAGTGTTAGCACAGAAAACATTTAGAAAAGATAAAGGTTATAAGAATTCCAAGACTAGTTCCAGTGTTCAGTTT